CTCGACCCCCCAAAAAACGCTCGCCCCCCGAAAAACGCTCGACCAAATCCCCTTCTTCCATCCAGAGGAAGGCGGGCATTGTTACGGTTTTTAAATTTGCAATCGTTTGCGGATATTTGCGCTCGTTTTGCGGATATTTGCGCTCGTTTTGCACTTTGATTTCTGCTCGCTCCTTTCGAAAATTCAACGAAAGATCATCTTGGAGGACCGACCAGCCCGGTTTTGGGAAAACGCTCGAAGCAGGAAAAAGTGTACGTTTACCATATTTTGGTGACGACCCCTGGTTTTGCAATACGTTTGGGCTAAGGGCAGAAATTTAGGTAACGAAGGGTGCTCCAGGAATTTTTGGGATTCGGTGTTCGAATGCCAAAACGGGATTCGCGAGCCCCAATCCCAATTTCGGGATTCGGGATTCGGGATTCGAATCCCAAAGCGGGATTCGCGAATCCCAATCCCAATTTCGGGATTCGGGATTTGGGATTTGGGGCTCGCGAATCCCCATCCCGATTTCGGGATTTAGGATTCGAATCCCAAAGCGGGATTCTGTTAGGGCGCACTATAGCCAATTTTAGAAGCAATCCCGTTAATCAAGGATCTAACAGACTTCGGGTGGGAATGGGCCCTCGTTAAGCAACTTTGGTTGGACAGGATTTTGTTTTGGCTTGCGCAAGTTGCAGTGAGCTTTTCAACACGCCAGAGACGTGGACCGCCGTGAGCCGCTTGGCCGTCTTGCTTGGGTCAAGGGCAGGGTTGTGAGCCGGAGGTTGGCGCTGCGGCCCAGGCCGCCGGCAGATCCAGCAAGCAGCAGCCTGCAAAACGGCGTGCAATGAAACGCTCATTTGGAAACTTCTGACTTCCGACGGGTCTGTCTTCTGACGGCATTACACGCACACGAGGCCTCGACTCTAAGCAACCACCACATTCAACGGACCCGGGTTCTCAGCAACCAAGCAGTTCCAGCCACGCAAAGAAACACCAATAGACGGCCAAACCATGCCGCAGAATGGCGAACGGCCGAATGACAATAGTTAGGCTGCATTGGGAGGGCCCATTTATTTACACACTTTTTACGTTTCGATTTTGGCCGGCACGATGGGCATTGCGCGTGTCTACCTTGGCTGCTTCCTGTCGGGGCCTGCTGCAATTGTTCGATAGTTGTAGGGCTTCTCTGCTACGGTCGCAGCATGTCGATATATATATATATATATGCATGTCTAAAGACCTGAGTGCTTTCGTAGGGTGCATTATTCATGGGGGGAACGGGTGATCTCCAGGCATGTGTTCTATTGACGCATACCCCTTTACGTGCCCCAAGTTTCCCACCTTTCCGAAATGCTGGTGTTCATGAAACGGAGCCCCTTGGTAGAATAGTTTGTTCAAAACGAAGCCCTTTTTTCAAACCTCTGGTGTTCCCGAAACGGAGCCCCTTTGTAAAATAGTTGCAAACGAAGCCCTTTCTTAAAATCTGTACTGTTCCCGAAACGGAGCCCCTTTGTAAAATCTGTTGTTCCAAACGACGCCTTTTCTTAAAATCTCTGGTGTTCCCGAAACGGAGCTCCTTTGTAAAACATTGCGTTCAAAGCGAAGCCCTCTCTTCAAATCTCTGGGGTTCCCGAAACGGAGCCCCTTTGTAAAATTTGTTGTTCAAAACGAAGCCCTTTCCTCAATTTTTGGTGTTCCCGAAACGGAGCTTTTTAGCATGGCCGGCTTGGGAACCTTAAGTGGCTGGCAACTTTGCAGCGGCCCTCTGTCCACAGTATAGAGGGCTGTGCTGGGGCTGGTGCCCTGGCTCTCCCACCCGGGTGGGCCCACCAAATCCACAAACGGAGGCTGGTCTTCTTCGTCGCCAGGATGCCAGCCACGCAGACGACCATCGCGGAGCGCTGCCTTTGGAACGACTTGGTGCAGGAGTCGGTCTGCAGCCCCGGTGTCTGCATTCCGCGCCATTTGAGGCACCGTGTTGGTGGAAGTTTTCACTTTAAGGCAGTCCAAGCCTCATCTTGTCTTCCTTAAAGAGACTGCAGCTGCGACAAAGTTCAGCAACAGCGTCGTTTCTCCATATTGTAGTTTGTCAGGAGGTCCCGTGGGAATTCCCTAATTTTGATTATGAGCCCCATTGCACATTGGTGTTATTGCCGCGGTGTCTCCGAAGTTTCGCAGCATGCGCTTGTATACGCCCCCAGTTTCCCTTTTCCTTGTGTCATGAGAGAACGTTTTTGTGTGGTGAGCACGCACGCTGCGCCTCTCGGCTTGAAAGCTTGCAAAGCGCGAGGCGTAGCCCGCGCAAGACGACCATTGGGGAGTGCTGCCTTCGCAACGACTTGGCGCAGGACGGTCTGCAGCCCCGGTGTCTGCATTCCGCGCCTTTTGAGGCACCGTATTGGTGGGAGTTTTCACTCTAAGGCAGTTCAAGCCTCATCTTGTCTTCCTTAAAGAGACTGCAGCTGCGACAAAGTTCAGCAACGGCGTCGTTTCTCCATATTGTAGTTTGTCAGGAGGTCCCGCAGGAATTCCCTAATTTTGATTATGAGCTCCATTGCACATTGGTGTTATTGCAGCGGTGTCACACACGTTTTTGTGTGGTGAGCACGCACGCTGCTCCTCTCGGCTTGAAAGCTTGTAAAGCGCGAGGCGTAGCCCGCGCAAGTTGTCGTGACTACCTTCTCCCATGGTCGCCTCCTTCAGAGGCAGCCATGAAGAGGTCTTCCCCTCTGCCTGTGGCATGGGAAGTTCCTCTTCTGTGGTGACCACGCACGCCTTTCCTCGAGGCTCCAGCGCCTGGGCTGGAAAAGCGTGAGGCCCAGCCCGCGCAAGTTGTCATGACAACCCTCTTCGGTGTCGGGTACCATTTTCAGACAGGATTTTGTTTTGGCTTGCGCAAGATGCAGTGAGCTTTTCAACACGCCAGAGACGTGGACCGCCGTGAGCCGCTTGGCCGTCTTGCTTGGGTCAAGGGCAGGGTTGTGAGCCGGAGGTTGGCGCTGCGGCCCGGGCCGCCGGCAGATCCAGCAAGCAGCAGCCTGCAAAACGGCGTGCAATGAAACGCTCATTTGGAAACTTCTGACTTCCGACGGGTCTGTCTTCTGACGGCATTACACGCACACGGGGCCTCGACTCTAAGCGACCACCACATTCAACGGACCCGGGTTCTCAGCAACCAAGCAGTTCCAGCCACGCAAAGAAACACCAATAGACGGCCAAACCATGCGCAGAATGGCGAACGGCCGAATGACAATAGTTAGGCTGCATTGGGAGGGCCCATTTATTTACACACTTTTTACGTTTCGATTTTGGCCGGCGCGATGGGCATTGCGCGTGTCTACCTTGGCTGCTTCTGGAGTGCTGTTCGCTTCCTGTGGTGGTGGTGGTGGTGGTGGTGGTGGTGGTGGTGGTGGTGGGGGAATGAGATTTTTATCCGCTTAGCACTGGCTCTTTGGTTGGTTGGTTGGCTGGGTGGTTGGTTGGCTGGGTGGCTGGTTGGTTGGTTGGTTGGGTGGCTTGTTTTGGAGCTGGCTCGGTGGCTGGTTGGTTGTTTGGCTGGGTGGCTGGTTGGCTGGCTTGCTGGCCGGTTGGTTGCCTGGTTGGCTCGTTGGTTGGTGGTTGGGCTGTCTCAAAATCCAGAAAAGACTCGGCCGGGGCGTGGGGGGGGGGGACGAGCTCTCAATTTCCAACAAGAACAGGGACAAACACTAATTGTGCCATGTTCGCTTGGGGTTGGGGGGAGAATATATAATTTGACACGGGCTTGTTTGTGCCGGAGCTGCAATTTGTGGTGTTTGATTTTTTCTTGAAGACATTGTCAAATGTCACGTCCCCTCAAAGTAAGCAAGCCTTATCCAAGTCAGGCGTAGACTGCTGAAAAAGTCAACCCACAGCTGCGCGCGCCGAGGCAATGGGCCGCAGCCCAAGCACGGCCCTTCGCGAACTTCCTGCTGCTCGATTTGTGGCGTGGTGAACCCCAGGTGAGTCACGTCCTCCAAATTTTGGGTAATTGGAGGGCATACCGGGCAATCCCAGCCAGGAATGGATGCGGACATCCGCCATGGTAATGCTTTACATGGTTCTTAAAAGTTACGACCATTGTAACACCGGGGGTTGATTGTGACTCAGGTGTATTTTGAGGGAACCCTTACTCAGTTGTTCAGTGGCTTTCTTTTTCCCCTTTTTTTGGTGGTTGCCCCACTAAAATGGTCTTCCCAAAAAAGGCTTCCCTTTTTTTCCAGGGTCACTGAACAACTGAGCTTATTGTTGGGTGCGGGTTAAAGAGAAGACGAAAGGAACCAAACCCGCCCGTTTGGGATGCGCTATTCGGATGCAGACCCAGCAGGCTTTGATCCATAAGAGGATCCGAGCAACGCAGCTGAGGTGGCCTTATTCAATGTTTTGAATCGGTGGTTTGGGGAGTTGAATCCCTTCTTGTAGAGGGCAAGTGGGAAACAAACAAAGGTTGTATTCTGTTGAGCCCATGCACAATTTGACAGGAACCTCCCCCTTCCCAAATTGGTGCTTTTCCTGATGGCTTGCCTTAAAAGCCACCAAGCCACGGGCACCAACTCTACAAAAGACGCGCCCATTTGACAAACCTTCCGGTGGTTGGGTTTTTGATGAAGAAACAAGCAGAGTTCAAAACCGAGGCTCATCGTTGCCGAGGAGGATCAGTATTCCCTGGAGGTGTGGCAGGACTGGACCAAAGCTTATACTTCTCAAAGTGGGGGTTGATCAGAAAGCTGTGAGCAACTTGCAACTTGCAATTATAATAACCCCAATTGAAAAGCTGATGTGTATAGAGCTTCATTGGGTGCATCGGTTTCCATTCAAGCCAGAACGCCTTGGCTTGTTCTTGGGCATTTTGTCGACGTAGTGTGGAGGGGATATGTCCAGCACTGCACTACCCAATCAAGCAATATCCGGTGGCACTTACATGGGTGTAAAAGCAGATGGCACAATTACCTTTATGGTAAGTCAAAGAGGTGTTGAAACCCAACCTTGCAAAAATGTGCCATCTACTTTCACCGAACTCTAGCGCGCTTTTGCTACCAACATTTGATACTGGCTTGCCAGACTGGTTCGCAAGATCGTTGTTCAAACGCTAGGAGTTGGCTTTGGAGAACATGGAGTTCCACAACTACTACGTGGCAGTGGACGACACAGGATCGCGTTTTGTGCGCGCCACTTGTGCGCACCACTTGCCGCTTGGGGCCTCAGCGCGGACGTTGCACCAAAATGGCTGAGGCTCAAAAAACCACTGCCAAAAATGGAACCCTGGTAAGTGGAAAAACATGGACCAAAACCTGCGTAACCCCTCCTGTTTAATTTTGAGCCACACCCAAATATACAAAATATGTGCAGGCTCGGTCTTGTTTTTGGTTGGGAAATTTCCCAAACGCAAACCCCTATCTTCCCCCTTTCCTGAGTTGGCATGTTCTCTTCTCACAACTTCTCATGTGGATTGAGGCTCACATGGCTCTTTGCCAGTCAGGCTTTCACGCGAGCTCTCCAAGATTGAAATGTGCCAGCCCTCTGGCAGTCCCAAATCCGGATTCCGAAGCCAAGGCATCAAGAGGAGAACAGCAGTTGCTTGACCCATGACCCTTCCAAACGTCCAGATCTGTTTCCTGGAGCGCTTCTAGCAGTGATCTGAACACTGAGATCGGGTGTTCTAAAAAGAATGCTGTGTGGACTCAATGAGCTTGAAAGTCATTGGGTACATGTTTGCTTGAGTGCCGATGATTGTAATTTCTATCATCATGAGGGCCGTTGACCGGGGTGCCTTGACCATTTGTGGCTCGTGGCTTGGTTCACATGGTTTGTCCTTCCGTGTGACTTTACATTGGCACAATGCTGGTAGATACCGCCCGCATTGCAGCCAAAAGGCGGGCACAGCCCCAGCTTTCTTTCAGCCGCAGATTGAGGCGTCGTCTTCTCCTTCCGGATTCCGCTTCAAACTTCCGGGAACTCAGCCCCAGGGTCCAAACTGGCCATGGGCTTTATATGGACCTATACGATCGACCTTTGATCTCTGCTTTTCTCCTTCCGCTCCAATCATTGGGCTCCCTTTTTCGAGGGCACCACTTTCTGGGGTGGTCCAAGGAAAAAAGCGTTTGACGTCCGCCTGTGCCTGCAAGACGCGGGCACATGGAGGCTTATTGAGGGCCAGAGCCAAGCCCAGCCATAAACAATGGCGCGAAAATCCCCTGTCAATTTGTTTAGGTGTTGGGCAGACGGAGAGTACCAGTGACTCATCTGCGAAGTCAAAGTGGGTTGGCTGGAGAAAAAAGCAACCCGCCCCCCCCCCCCCAAAGAAAATAATAAACATAACATGGGAGGGGCTTATGGATGGATGTCTCAACTTTCCCGGCAAACCTGAAGGCCTCAATTCTCTCATTCCCTCCAGGCCACCCATTCTGTACCAGACCATCAAGGAAACGGTTTGGATGTGGTTTTTGTAGACCCACCTGGATAGCAAAAGAGTACTAAGAGAGTACTAAAAGAGGAACTGGTAAAACATGGCCGGGGAAACCCACGGAAAGCGCATCCTTTCCGTCTGGGTAGGCACGGCTCGCAGGAGTCTGGAGCGCTTTGCCGGGGCCGAGACCTTCGGTGCACCTCACTGCGCATCAGGAGGGAAGAGACTGCACATGTCGTCTTTCTTTTGGCAACCCACGCTTTTTTCGTTGGTGTTAAGGGGAAAGGCAGCGGTAGCCCAAGCTTTTTCGTTGGCTTTAAGGGGAAAAGGCAGCATCTGCCTTCTTTCTGTGGGGCGGTCCGCCTGAGGTTGTTGCACCCACTAATGTTGACCCAGAATTAATAAACCCGTCCCATTTTTAAGGGGGTGTTCTCTCCAAAAGTGATGAATCCCCACTGAAAGGGGACACCCCCCTATTAATCAACCAGGGGGTTTATTAATCCGGGGTTAAGATTAAGGGGAATGACTCTTGGCCTAGGTGAAGCTTTTCGGCGTTTTGCAGACTTCCCCAGAGCCGCTCCGAAAGCTGCAGAGATTCGCTGCTGCGTTCTGACGTTGAGAGCTGCTCGGCTTGCAGCTCGGCAGGACCTGCAGCTGGATGCGCCCCACTTCATTTGGAGGGGCGACAAGGCAGGGGGGACTTGGGCGGCCAAAACCTCCGCACCGGTGGCAACGTGCCATGGGCCAATGCTCGAGAAAAAGGGCAGACGGACGACGAATCTTAAAAAAAACTAGAACTGCTCGCCAATGGTCTCTCACTGTTCATTGGGAGCCCAAAAATGTTCTGTTTTTTGGATTTTGGACCCGGCTACAGTGCCACCTTGTGCAACTTTAGTATCAATGGGGATACCAACAAGGGCTCCCAAATTTGACGACACCTTGCATGTTGAAGAATGTTTGCCATGTGCTAGGTTCTTACCATTCACCCTTGCCATCTCTTCTTTCGCAACAGAACGCTTGGTCTGCTTTGAGGAACGGGACCATGTTTTCTTTTAGGTACAACTAGGTCTCTAGGTGCCCTTTTACCCTGTTTTTGGGGAGGGTTCCCCTACTTATTCTAACCCTCTCTGCCGGAGGAGTCTTTCTTGTGTGGGGGGGAAATCCTCTTTTGGTTTACAGGGAAACCGATTTCGGACCACCGAAATCCATCTTGGGTCCCATCTGCTGGAGGACCAAACGAGAAATCGGACCAAACTTCTGCGCCAGGCGATGCTGAGGAGCTGGCTGGCCATCAGCGCGCTGCCGGTGCTGCTGGAGCTCACGCTCGCGGCCTTTCGGGATCTGCCCATAGGCGGGGGGCGGTTTGGCCGGCGCGGCGGCTCGTTTGGACGCTCCGCGCTTATATATATATATATGTATATATATATATATATATATGCCTCATATATTGGGGGGTGGTTTGCTTTTTTGGGGGGACGAAATCCAGCATGGATAAACATGACACAGCCATGTCCCTTCTTGAAGTAGGGGTGATGTTGGGGGCAATGCAGGAACCTGGGTGTTTCGCAAAGTTTAGTCCTCCTGAATTTGGGTGATTTCCGTTTGGATTCCCTTGATAGTTGTTTTTCCCTTTTGGCTTTGGTTGCCCTGAATTGGCATTTGTTTGTTTAGTCCATAAGAAACACCTTTTTAAGAAAGCAGTAGTTGATTTTTCGCTGAAATAAGGCATCATAATTAGTAAGACAAGGCGTGAGTCGAATTGTTCCCAGTTCATCCCTTACTTGAAGAATCCAAACTTCACCTACTTTAAGAGGGGATCCTTAAAGTCAGTTGTTGCATGTGATGTGTTCAGCCCACATGAACCTTTAAGGAACCCTGCCTTTGAGTCCTCTCATGGCTCTTGCCAAAATGACCCACGGCTTTTGGGAATGTCCCAGAGCAGCTCCGATCTAAATTCCCAAACGGTTTAACCAGGTCGCCAAAGGACCGAAAACCAATGCTTGAAATCTGTCGCTTTGTCCGCTTTTCTCTGCAAACTACATTTTTTACTTGCGCGGTGGTTCAAACCACGCTTCCAACCAACCTTTCAATTTCCAACCATTCTAGTGGTACCTTCCCCATTCTTTCCAATTCTTTCAGGGGTCCTTCTTTGCAGCAAACCATCAAAAACGCAGGGGGAACAGATCCGGTTTTTGAAAAGAACAATGGTTGAAAAGAATGGAAAAGGAATAAACCCCTAGAACACTCCCCTGGTTGATTTTGAGAGATGGGCATGTCCCCTTTGAGTGAAAAACTCAAACCACATTGCGAGGGAATCAACCCGTAGCCTACGAGACTGGATTTACTCGTGGCTCGTTGCGAGGTCTCCCCCTGGTGGCCTTGTGCCATAGCCACAACGCCTCCGCGCTGGCCGCCTTCCGGCGCCGCGCGCAGGCGATGCTTCGCTTGAGCTCGAGGTGTGAAGCTCGAGTGACACGACCCAGGTGTTTGATTCGCTTCAGGTTTCTGTCTTTGCGTGTGAGTCCTGCCCATGGGAATATTAGAGCTGCTCTTGACAGGCATGAACCATTTGCTTCTTCGCAAGGACCCAAGCTCCACTCCTGGCCAAACACATTCAAGCGTTTGCCTTGTGAGATCTTGCAAGACAGATCTGTCACGATGAGATCCGACGGGACGTAGACCTTATGCTTGCCAGGCCATGCGAGTCTCCTTGCTCTTCGCCTTTGCATCGCTGGAGCGAATGCACAGAGATGTGGGCTTGAGGGTATGCACAGATCTCTCAATAGAAGAAGTCCAGTCACCAAGGTTTTCTGACGCATGCCCAGTGTTTTTGCTTGTGCCCTGTCTGTAATTCGGGACCTCAAGCCATGATTCGTCCTTTGCCTTGCAAAGTCCAAAGTGTCTGTCACCTGGGCCTTTGCTTTCCCTTCAAAAACCCAGAGCAGAGGGGTAGCCTCAGAATTTAGCGCCCGTGCCACGAGCAAAATGACTTGTTTACTTCCCTCCCAAATGGACCATACTCTACAAGTTCCAGGGATGCTGACGGACTCTTGTCCTAGGCCCCCAAACTCCCAAACCAGCCAGCAGAACCGCTCCTATGATCAATGGAGGTGTTGGGTGCTCACTTGTTTTTTGGACAGTAGTTGGTTGGACACGGGAAAAAGCAGTTGTTGGAGGGTGCTGGCGTACATACCTTTCTTGCTGCTTCTCAGTAATGAGGGAATGAACCTGCAGATTCCCTTAAAGGACACCATAGGGCATGGTTTATAGGGGTCATTCCAATTCTCATTCCCTACGCATCGCACCAGCAAGCTTTATGACACTGAGGTTTTTTTTGTATTCCACCCTGGGATTACACCCTTGGGAAATGACCCAGAATGGTTCAACATAACACGTTTTTTTCCACGAATGTGCCTAAATGGGGTCAATACCCAGTGGGTGTATTCCCAGGGTGTGAGACAAAAACCCTTAGAAGACCACCTTACTTCACCGGTGAAGTCGATTTTCCTTCGGGCGAGTTGGGGCGACCGGTCGCAGGACATTGACTCCCGAGAAGGTCAGCTCTTGGCGAGGCGGGGAGAGCTTTCCGACTGAGGCCCCGGAAAAAAAAGGCTGGTTGACCCACAAAAAGTCAAAAGTAGAGCACACGGGGGGGCGGTGGGGGGGGGCGGGGGCCGCAGGCCCAAAGGTTGACTTCCAGTTTCGCTGCAAGCAACGAATTGACCCACAAAGAAAGGAAAAAGTAAAGCATACCGGGGTAAGCGGCGTCAAAGATCTGAGACCGGTACCTCCAACCATACCGATGCGGGTAAGTTAAACGTCTTGGGCTGGAGGCTGGAGGCAACTGCGCAAAGTCACAGGCTGCTTCAGTGTTGGTCAATGCTTCGGTTCCAGAGTGCCACCTACAAGAAGAGTTGTGCATCTACATGTTTGCACATGCGCCAGAATCAACGCCGAGGAAGGGACACTCCCAACCATAAATAGGTGCAGCCGCTCGTTTGTTGCTTTTACATCACCTTGGGACTTTAGTACCAGGTGTTGTTTTTTTAGCGGGATGTTTTGGTGGGCGTGCACTAAAAGCGGGCCCCCACATGTGGGTCAAAATTGAACCACCAAGGGACCGCCAGTTTTAGTCATGGGTTCCATTTACCAGGGTTCCATTTCGGGTACCCATTTTTGACCCACAGCCAAATAGTTGCAGCCACTCGCTTGAGTCTTTACATAACTTTGGGTAGCGTCCTTTAGTACCAGGTCTTCATTGTGACTCGCATGCTGCTCGCCAGGAGGTTCTTCCCATTGATGGCAAGGCATTGGGAGCCTCCTCTGCACTTAGATCTCAATCACCAGAGGGCGTGCATTACCCACATGGGCAGGTTGTGCCGCGAGCGAAACGCCAACATGTTGATTGTTTGTTTGCTTGACAAGCACCTGTGTTGCTTCCTCACCCCTTCAGGCTTCCTCACCCTTCAGGCGCTCACCCCCTAAGCTTTTCGCTAGCTTGTTTGTTTGCTTGTTTGCTTGCTTGCTTGTTTGATAGTTGTTTGACTGTTTGCTTTTGTGTGCTTGAGCCAACCTTTGATTCCCCACGGCGACTGTGCTGCAATTGCAATGCGCAGCAAGGGGTTCCAGAGACGCCAGGCGATTCGCCCCACAGCGTTGAAATCCCAGGAGGTTGTAGAGCAATGCTTTTGAGGCCAACAGATATTGGGACAAAGATCAAGAACCACCCTTCCCAATTAATTGGTTCCATCGCAAGGTGGATGGACCGTTTTCTGTTCAAGCATGTATTGGTTGTTTTCGTCCCCCTCCTCCCCCCGGTGTGCTTTTTGTTTTTGTTTTTCGCCCTGAGGAAGACTCCGTGCCTCATTATGAGTTGCCTCCTCGCATCTTTGTCTTCATGAAGACCCCTGAGGCTGAAACTGACATCTGAACTTCAGCATGGGACCTGCTGGGGTCGTGTTTTTTGGGGTAGTGGTGGTGCCTGACTAAAATTCATATAATATAACTATGACGTTTGATGAGGAACCCTCCCAAATCGTTGGTGGACCTACATCCCCACAAAATTTAAGGTGCGCCAGAGGGTCCTCAGTTCAGATTCATAAACCATGTGGGTGTGTTGCAGGAATTGGTAGCCTTTTCGCATGGGTTTGGAGGAAGACCATTAAAGGAATTTCAGGATGTTGGGGGTCCGAAGCCCTGCTTTGACACACTCTTTGCGTTGCCCTCCCTAGCATGGCACTTAGTCAAACGATTCGTAGAAGAACTTGACCGTTCCAGCACCCCCCAACTACTGCTTTTTGGACAGTACTTGGGATTTTGAACGTGGGAAACAGTAGTTGTTTCAGGAAGCTTTTGTGAAGGGTAGGATTGGCACGGCTGGCTATGTCGATGACTTGAGGACTTTCTGTCAGTGTTCGTTGGGCATGTTTGCGGAAGGCGGAGGGGGCCAATGAACACAGTTGCTGATGGGGTGCTGGTGTTTGAGAGGAAACACAAAAAGCAACACTCTCTTTGCGGGTCCGATTACAGTTTCGGAAAGCACCCATTCCATGAATTCATGACGTGTGGTCTACCACACATTGCAGTTGGCTTACTTGCAAGACGTAGGCCGTCAATCTGGGCGTGCAACATCTAGTGAGACTGATGAGCCAGTTAACCCGATTGTCATTTTTGATTCTCCTTCGCTACATGATGAAGTCTGGCCTTCAGTTGAGTTCTACTTCGTGCAAACATATCCCATCGCTTCCAGGCAAGCCACTATGGGCAGCCAGGCTACCTCTAGGTTTTACATCATGGCGTCTCCTGGTCACCTAGACTGGCTTGCCTGGAAGCGATAGGAACTACTTGGTACCCGGCGGATAGAACGCCGTGGGCTTTTTTGCACCCATCCAGATCAGTCTGTGTCTGAATTCGCGCGAATTACAGTGGTTTCTGCAGCGGCGCCTCTTGAAACAAGACCAAAGCACGACAAACGATGGAGGTCTTTTTTTTTCGGGCAACACTTTTACGGCTTGACCAAAGAAACCTATCTTTCACGGCTTAAAGAGAGAAGCCAATCAAGACAAAAAGCCTGCACTTGAGCGGGGGTTCTTGCCATTTGGCTGGCATGGATAGAGTGCTGAGCGGGTGCACTTGAGCGGGGGTTCTTACCTTTTGGCTGGCATGGATACAGCGCTGAGCGGGTGCACTTGAGCGGGGGTTCTTGCCATTTGGCTGGCATGGATAGGCACTTGAGCGGGGGTTCTTGCCATTTGGCTGGCATGGATAGAGTGCTGAGCGGGTGCACTTGAGCGGGGGTTCTTGCCGTTTGGCTGGCATGGATAGAGTGCTGAGCAAGTGCACTTGAGCAGGGCCTCTTGCCATTTAACTGGCGTGGATAGAGTGCTGAGCGGGCTCAAGTGCGGGGGTTCTTACCATTTGGCTGGCATGGATACAGCGCTGAGCGGGTGCACTTGAGCGGGGGGGTCTTGCCATTTGGCTGGCATGGATAGAGTGCTGAGCGGGTGCCATTTGGCTGGCATGGATAGAGTGCTGAGCGGGTGCACTTGAGCGGGGGCTCTTGCCATTTGGCTGCCATGGATAGAGTGCTCTGCGGGTGTACAGCGCTGAGCGGGTGCACTTGAGCGGGGCTTCTTGCCTTTTGGCTGGCATGGATAGAGCGCTGAGCGGGTGAACTTGAGCGGGGGTTCTTGCCATTTGGCTGGCATGGATAGAGTGCTGAGCGGGTGCACTTGAGCAGGGGTTCTTGCCGTTTGGCTGGCATGGATAGAGTGATGAGCGGGTGCACTTGAGCGGGGGTTCGTACCATTTGGCTGGTATGGATAGAGTGCTGAGCGGGTGCACTTGAGCGGGGAATCTTACCATTTGGCAGGCATAGATACAGTGCTGAGTGTGCACTTGAGCAGGGGCTTCTTTCCATTTGGCTGCACATGTGCAAAAAACCAAACAAAACCCACACATGTGCAACAAAAACCCAACAAAATTCAGAAATGTGCCAAAAAAGCCACGGCGTTCTATCCGCCGGGTTCCAACTACTTGGGCCCCTCTCTGTTTCAGGTGGCCTCTCGCCCTTCGTCCTTAAATGGCCCGAGTCATTGAGATAGAACCGCAGCGCTTTTCTCCGACACAAGATGTTGATCGAAAGGTCCGTTCAACACGGGGTGACCTTTTGAGAATCCACAAAGGTATGACTTTTACCATATGGCCGAGGCTCAAAAAAGCGGAATTCCAAAATGGAAGTGGAAACATGGATTAAAACCTGCGTAACCCTTGTTTAATTTTGATCCACACCCATATGGGAAAGAAGCTGCCAAGACAAATATGACGTTCACCCATTTAGTGGAAAAAACTACGCGGGCCGAAAGGAGTATTGATCAACCCCCATATCAACCACGCAGATCTACTGTCACTCCTGACATGTGTGAAGAAAGCTCCTTTGGTCAACTGAGCGCCAAAACTCTTACTGGCAAGTTCAATCCGGGTTACAGTAAGGCCTATATTCACCATAGCCATAGAACCAAAAGTCCGCTCGGGTCAAAAGGCCTGAGCTTCGACCAATGTCTATCTCTGCGAATGCGTCAGGGCGGCCTCTACTGGGAGAGCTTAGACTTCGCAAGCCTGGAGTCTTTCGTGAAACTCGACATGGCTTAAAGTTGGAATCGGAAGCCGGCTTTCCCTTCAATTTTCTTCAAACGTACCGCAAACACTGGTCACAATTACAAGACAAATGGACACCCCAAAATTGTGGTTTGCCTCGTGGTTTCTCTTGAAACCAACCCCGAACAAGTGTGAAACTACGAATTTTCCTGAATTTTCCTTTTGGGGTTCCCCTTCAAACAGCCTGAAAGGGGTACCAACTCAGCGCCACGCATCCAAGATGCAGAAGCTCAAACTGGCAGTATTCGTTCTTTAAAGGATACCCTCCCACCAATTAACGTGGAACCTGACAGGGGGGTCCTGCAAGACCTTTTTCTTTTTAAAGGGACCCCCTGTCAGGTTCCATGTTAATTGGTGGGAGGGTGCATCATTTAAGCCAGGAACAAATCATGTGATGGCTCCCGCTCAGATGGTTCAGTGTGTGCTTTGCAAGGTCAGGCCACGAACATGTTTGGTGGGCGAACTTGGGTTACACATCTGGATCCTTGCCCCCGTTAAATGGGAACCAAGCGGTGGTTGTTCAAACAGCACGGGGTGGCCCCACCCTACACAAAAGTCCTTCAATGTCTCAACCTAATGCAACAGAGCACATAGCTTGGGATAGAGAAGGATGCCTTGCCCAGTGAACATGCGTCGCCTGACACAATTAGAACTGTACACGAGCTTTGTATTTGGCTTGTGACTAGGCTTGTGACTTGGTTTCAAGGGGCTTTCGGATGCCCGGAGGAATGACACTGGTGCGTTCTGCGCATTCAGAGCTGAGAAGCTCAAACGGCTTTCGAGCAAGGAATTGACAGCCCACTCCCTCCTGGGTCCGGTTGTGTGTTTGCTTTGATCCATTGTGCTGTTCGCTCGAGTTGAGTCACCCTTTTTTGTTTCGTTCCCAGATGGTTTTCATCGGAGTATCTTCCGCTCCAAAATCACCGGCAACGAATTTG